AAAAAAGGTATTCTTTTGATTGAATTAACTCAATTCCAAAAATATACTATGTATGTACCATAGAAAGAAAGGCCGAGATTTGCAAGGCGTGGCGCGTGATGTGTATTTGTACGCATATTCTGCGTGCATGTAAAAACAGCTTTCGTTTAGCCATCTCATCTCTTAGCTAATGCACCAAAAATGAGAAATTGAAAGCGAAACAAATATATCTCTCATTTTTCAAGCGAAAAAGGAAACTACTTCATGGAAAGTTAGCCTAAAAGGAGGAAAGCAAAATACAAAAGTTACGTAATCCACAGATTTAAAACAGGCATTGTAGATCTACTTTTCTCTTCTTTGTTTTTCCCCTCACTCTTCCACATTTTCCTTCAATAATAACTACATATTGCATGTCCTTATCTATATTTCATACAAAGTGAATGACCGAAAGCTATTGCCATTTATATATCCGAGTCCAAATTCCTTATTTTCTTGCGTTAATTTCACGTTGTTAATTAAAACTTCTTTCGCAGCTTATAGAACCAAGAAAGCCATATATGGAGAGGGAGACCACTCGGAACAAGAAGAGGACAAGAGATGGAGGAGAAGACATGAAAGGGTTTCGCAAGGGCAAGAAACAAGAAAGTGTCAACATCAAGCGTGATCCTTTTGAAAATACCGAAAAAGCACAACACGGATTCTATGAGGGTATTGGCATTTTCGATTTTCCTTGGCTCAAAGAAGGCGTTGTCTTTATAGCCGACGAGTGTTTGGAAGCCGAGGAGATGTTATTCGGTCATTGTTCGTACGTGGATGAGGCTTCCGGAACATTCGCAGAGAATTTTCACCGATTGCATGATGAATATAATTTACATGACCAGAAGTTAGATGATGATGATGATGAATTTTGGTCGTTGGAAATCAATGGTTTCGAACCTATAGATTGCATCTGGAGTTGTATTGATCAGCCTCTTGACACAGGTTTGAACAAGGTTTAGACAATTAGAAATAAATTTTGGTCAATGTGTAACTTGTGCAAATGTCATTTTTTTTTTTATTACTTCTTTTTGTTTGGCCTAGATTAAGTTAAAGAATATGTCAAAATACTTAAATTCTTGTATGCGAATTTGGAAGTCACGCATCTTGCATTTTGTACCAAACCAACCTTAGATTTCGCGCACTGCACGCTATATCCCAAGTGAATTCTCATGTTTATTGAAAGTAGTATATCCTTTTTAATATCTTTTTTTTTTTCCTTTTTGTTTAAAGGAGTTGCTAAAGATTTTAGTTAGAGAAAATAGCTATTCATACTATGAAGATATACTAAGTTTTTCACACCACCAATTAATAAATTGTTTTTTTCTCCTCATTAAGTGTGAAACAAATTATTTGATAAACTATGGGACAGAGAGACGACGATAATTGAGAAAGTGCGACATAATTATGCGATAAGCTATGCACAAACAGACGAAGTTAAATGAGCAACTGCGAAATAATTGTGCGATAAACTATGTAACAGAAGAAGATAATTGAGCAGGTGTGATCTTATTATGCGATAAACTATACGACAGACAGACGAAGTTAATTGAGCAAGTGCGAAATAATTATGCGATAATTGTGCTATAGACATACGAAGCTAATTGAGTAAGTGCGAAAACTTGTAATTATTAAATATAATATTAATGTGATCATGTATATATGCCTTCAAAAAGATTGTCTCTAGAATATGTATACTAACTAATTGAGTATATTATATAAATTGCAAATAATCAAATAATTATTTAATTAATTATTAAAACATATACTAAGTCCATACATAAACCGAAAACGAAAACAAGAAGAAGAAAAGAACTAAACATCCAAAAAAGGAGAATCGGAGCCTGGGTTGACAGGCCAACACTCTGATCCACAAAGTGGATAGGCGTACAAAATACAGGACGACTGCTAGAATCAAACGATGGGTAGCTAGCCTGGTCCATCTCCATAAGAGTACCAAGGCGGAGATGGGCGTCATCCATGTGGAAGGTGCGTCTCTTTGGGATGGGGACACCTAGGATGGTCAGATAATCAGTGGGTTGGTGCTCCTTGCGGAAGATGTGCGAGATTCAGTACCGAACCGACTGAAGTATGGATCTGATGCACATAAGCAAATGTTGAATCTGCCACGAGCCTTGGTGGCCCGAGGTAAAAGAGGTGGCGACAGCGGCAACATCCAGCTCTATCCAGATGTGAGAAGAGATAGAGGCTGCAATGTGAAGACTGATCTGAAGCGCCTGAACCTCCTCGTCGTAGATCGAGGATGTCTGAAGAGGGGTGTGGAAGGCAGAAATGAGAGCTCCGCTGTGATCCCTAATTAGGCCACCGCCTCCGGCGGCTTCGGTAAGTCTGTAGAAAGATCCGTCAATGTTTAGTTTAACCCAAGGGGGGTCGGGTCTCAGTCAAACAATGACTCTAGGACGTGGGTGCTGAACAGGTGGCGACGGAGATGGTACTAAACAATGTGGCGGTAGGCAGCCTCACCAGTCTTTAGGTGTGAGTCTTCCTAGAGTTGTGAGGCGAGAGAGATGTCAATCAACCTGCAAAACAATGTGAGAGCACATAATAGTAATATTTCTATGCTTCACACTATTCCTTTCTATCTAGATGAACCACATGATCAGACAATGAATGAGGAAGCCCACGTGTCTAAGTGTGTGCGCTGTGAGAAAAAACTCAGAAGCTTAGAAAAACTATCTGTAGTGGGTAGGGTATATGAGTATAGGTGGAGAATTGCTCCCACACTCTCCTTGGAATCTCGATCTCTAAAAACAGATGAGAAAAAGTCTTAGTCTAGAAGTCACCAGTCTCAGCACAGCAGTGACACCGCGAAGGGAAAGAAAACTCCCTCGCTTGCAGCACAACGTCGATCAAAATTCAGCTCAAAGAAGATGCCAAGAAAGATAGAGATGGTCGGGGTAAGTAGGTCGGTCCAAATGGCCCCGAAGAGAAGGTTAGGCCAATCACCCAGTCGAACTTCTCCCCAAGCTGAGGTCGTAAAAAATGCACCCGAAATTGTAAGTCTCCACATCATATCGTCTGAACCATCTTCCGAGATGAGAATCTGCTGGATCTAATATAAAACCTGGTCACTAAATCCCGCTCCAGAACCCAAAAACCTCTCTAACTTATTCCTATCCCACGCCCCATCAGTCCACAAGTCATTCACCCGCAGAGAAGAAAAATGGTGACATGTTTAATGCTCGATAAAGGCCCTTCATCGAACCACCACTCGTCCCAAAAGCTAACGTCCTCCTCACCCAGCGTCCAGAAGATGGGCTCATGGGCGTCCCTACTTACCCTGGTAAGCCGCCTCCACTGTCTAATATCATAAGCGGTGGCCATCACCTTACAGGAATGACAGACACATCTAGGGCAGTACTTCCCGTGAAGGTACTGAGTCCAAAGCGACTTTCCCTCCCTTAAGCGCCACTACATCTTGTAAAAGAAGACGGTGACTACATTCGATAAGTGGCAGATCTCAAATAATGAGCCATGATCTGATCTAACTCGTGGATAGTGGATCTTCTTTTGAAAGGGATCGAGGACCATAAGTAGATGGAGCGGGAGGGTGCTAAGGGTGTCATTGATCAGCACGAGCTGACCCCTAAAAGAAAGTCGTCTGTGCGACCAGCCAGAGATCCGGTCAATCATCCTCTGCCTGACATCTGCAGAGAGCGCACTCGTGAGATGGTCCTTGTACAGAGGGGCACCGAGGTAAGAGATGGAAAGGTCGCCGCACACGGAACCTGTGCCCTTGTGGACCCATTGCACCCACTGATCCGCAATGGGAGGGGGAGAGGATCTTTATCACGGATGAAGATGTCAAGGCAGCGAGAAAGGTAGTCCGTCGCCAGAACAAAAAGCAAGGGGGAGAGGGGATCCCCCTGCCGAAGTCCCCGGGAAGAAGAGAAAAAATTGGTGGGGCTGCCATTAACCAGAATAGAAAACGTGCAGTTCTTCATACACGCCTCCAGAAAATTGACCCACCGCTCTGGAGAACCCATCTAGATCAACACATCCTTGAGAAAAGACCACTTGACCCAATCATATGCCTTAGCCATATCTAGCTTCAGAGCAAGGTTCGGGACTCGCAACCGATATGCATGAGAGATGTCATGGATCACTTCCTGAGCCAAAAGAATGTTATCACTAATGGCTTAGTCCTTTATGAAACCACTCTGGTTTGGAGATATGCGAGAAGGAAGGAGAGAGGCAAGCCGCCCTTTAAGAATTTTGGAGATGAGCTTGTTGGTCACATTACAGAGGCTGGTAGGCCTGTAATGTGACCAAGAGCTCGGGCAAGGTCCTTTAGGGATCAAGATGACTGAAGTAGTTGTGAAGGACTCCGACATCTAGTGGCCAGAGAAGAAATCCACCACAGCTTCCTCAAAATTACTCTTAATAAGATCCCAGCAGGCGCTGTTGGGATCAATCCTAAAAGCAGCCTTCCTAACCTCCTCCATGCTCAAGAGTTCACAAAGGCCAACAAGATCGACTGACTGAGAGATGGTGAGGAAAGAAGGAAGCATTGAGGCCCGTAACCAAGTCTCTATCTGAGGTGAAGAGAGACTGAAAGTGCGCCACAGCAATTACCGTAGAGACTCTTGAGTTAGGATTGACTCGTTGTCCTCGATACAATGGATATACGACTTGACACGCTTCTGCATCACAAACCCCTGAAAGTACTTGGTATTACGCTCCCCTCAGCAACCCAGTGCACGACAGCCTTCTGCTTCCAGAAATCCTCCTCCATAAGACATTAGAGCTAGAACTCAGCGTGACAGCGGCACATAGCGGTCCTATTCTCCAGTGAGGACTCCAGATCATAAGCTCGCTCAATGTGAGCATACGCACTCTGAGCTGTAGAGACGCGCTGAGAAAGGTCTCCAAAAACATTCCAATTCCACTGCTTCAACTTGTGCCGCAGTCTCTCGAGCTTGGCCTCCAGGTTGTACATCCCGAAGAGCCTAGTTGGCTGTAAGAAAAAGTCCTGACAGTGTCATGGAAAGTTTGGTGGGGAATCCATATGTCTGGGCGGCCGAGCAGGGTCGAAGTCTGGCAAGTTGAAGGAGATTTGTTGTCGGTGGCTTTTATCTGTGGCGGACTGCGACCTCTGCTGCTTGCGGTCTTGCGACGCGGCAGCGAAGGCGTTGTGGGTAGCTCTTGGAGGGCGCTGGTGGTAAGGTCAGCGGCGACGGGCANAGCGCACCCTTATATATATATATATATATATATTTATAAATTGTGATCATCAATTTTCCATCTATACTAATTTTTTGTTAGGTTTTGTTTATATAAGTCTGTATTTTTATAATTTCTAGTTCAACTTATTTTCAAATCAACTTTAAAATATAAATAAGAAATCCAAAAGTACTAATAGATTTAAGGGGAAAAAATTTTTAACATCCCAAAGTATGTCATTTTTTAGAGTTTGCCATACAAACTTTCTTTTTTGACAATTTGCCTCCCAATGTAATCGAAACTGACAATTTGTCTCCTCAATTGAAAACTCTAATAAGTCACAAAAGAGTTTTTAACTCAATTAATTATGAATTTTATGTTAATCATTAAAATTGATTTAGGGCCCATGGCGAGATGAACAAAATGAGGTATGGTAATGGTGTGTTGATTTCTGTAAATTGATACCTCTAAAATTGATCCACGAAGATAGCAGGAGCACGTGTGTATAGAAAAAATTATGTTGATGGACGTTTTCGGTCAACGGTTAAAGAAACAAGATATGAAATATGAAATAGGGAAAAGGGAAAAAAGTACGGTTTAATTGTGATTTTATTAATCGATCGCGAGGTCGGCCTCTCGTACGAGGTCGGCACTTGCGATATCCTTACAAATTCTTACAGAGGTTTCTTACAAGTTTAGAAAGAGAAAATGTAGAGAGAGTCAAGACAGTTGGGATTCAACAACCCAGAAATAAATGAGATGGGTTGCTAGTTATAGTGGCCTTAAATATGACACTGTTCAGGTACTGTTCACCAGTCTTGTCGTACAGTACTCTGGCAGGGCAGTCCGGCGCTTCCCTGACAGAATTTAATGCGATTTGAGGTTTTTCCTCATCATTGCCTGACAGGCATTTAATGCACACATGGGGGTCATTTAATGCTGGCAGACTTTATGTCTTGGCTAGTGGATATAGGCCTGCAGGCTACGGCGCCCCGTCCAATCACCAATGATTGCTCTCCAAGTGGCGATATTATATTATTATCGGGCTCGGCATCTGTCTCTGGGCAACCGTCCTGGAATCTCAGACCGGCTCCTGACCCCGTTTCGTTCTCTTGACTCTTGGGAGTCATACTCCAGCCCGTCATCCCCCAGGTCGGCACCGGTATTTGGATGTCGCCGGGCTCGTGGATGGACCCGTGGGGATGTCAGAGTCAATCAAATCTGGAATTCAGACCGGCACTTACGCTCGACCGGGTTTCCAGTTTGGGTTTGCGAGCCGGTTCGGCTTTTGGGAGCTGTCGTATGTCCGGTTTCCTTTCGAGGTGAACTCTGATGTCAACAAATTACAATTCAAATTTTCTGTTATTCAAGATATCCGATTTTCGATTGGGAGGTGTCATTTGAAAGCTTGGAGGACGAATTTTCTAACGAAGTAAATCTTATGAAAATCCAACGGTCGGATTTTGGTTAATAGTTAAAAAAAAAAAAAAGCTAACTATTGATCAGTAGTTTTCTAGATATTGATCAAAATCCGACCATTGAATTTTCATAAGATTTACGTGTTAGAAAATTGGTCCTACTAGATAAAATTGGTCCTACTAGTTTTCAAATGACACATCCCAATCGAAAATCGGATATCTTAATTATCAGAAAACTTGAATTGAAATTTTTGTTATACACACGTGCTCCTATTATGTTCGTGGATCGTTATAGAAGTATCAACTTTCAAAATTCGACAAATCATACCTTATTTTGTTCGTCTTGCCATGGGCTTTAAAAAGCCCTAAATCAATTTTAAAGATTAATTTAAAATTTATCATTAGTTAAAAATTCTTTTGTGCTATATTAGGGTTTTTAATGGAGGAGGCAAATTGTCAGTTTCGATTACATTGGGAGACAATTGTAAAAAAAGAATAAAAAATTTATATGACAAACTCTAAAAATTGACATAATTTGAGAGGTTAAAATTTTTTTTCCCTAAATTTAATTGTTGAATTACTGTAATTGTTAGGCCAATCTTTTCCCCAACCTGTATCCGTTCTACAACCACATAAGTAAGTTTAATTGACAACCGTCAAACTAAAACATTATTTCTATCAGATATGCAAATTTCATAATATTAAATTGCTCCATAAAATAATATTTTGTTCTAGAGACCAAACGCAGATCAATTTTACAGGTAAGCCGACAGAAAAACTGCAAACTATAAGTAGAGAACATAGACATATACAGTACACACAAAGAACAGCAGCACTGGATGCCCATCCAATCCACATTGTAAACGCCATAATTTTTTCACAGGATTTTTCATCATCACCCCTGCTCGTCCTTTTATTCCTTTCACTCTCTTGCCTTAAAGATGCAGCATTTGCGTTTCTTTTCCTTTCTTCATTTACCCTCACTTTTCAGCTTTTCCTATTAACTCAGACTTGGCACCGTTTAAGATTTTGGGCTGTTTTTTTCTCTAAATCGAACAAGATTCTGCCTAGCTTTTAAAGACACATGAACCCAAATTTACACTAAATTCCGACGTTTCTTTTTACGACATTGATGTATTGGGATTCATTATTGTAGTACCTAACCCCAAAAACCCAAAATCCTT